GAGTAGCCGGAATTACAGGCATGTGCTACCACACCCAGCTGATTTTTGATTTATTGTAGAGATGAGGTCTCGCTGCTCAGGCGGGTCTCGAACCCATGGGCTCAGGCAATCTACTCACCTCAGCCTCCCAAAGGCGCGGGATCATTTATATATTTAAAGTAACCTTATTTGCTGTTTAATATTACTAAATTTTTTTGTTGGTTGTTTCTATACCTAGGCTATAAAATCTTTGAGACTAAGCTCTAGATCTTTTCTTTCTTCCCGATCTTCTTTCCTTTGTCACACGGTTATATAACTAAATATTCAATAATGTTTAATTAAATGGATGGTAGAATGTGTTATATGTATACAGTATTTTAATTTGTAAAAAGAACCTTAATCTTTTCATAATTTAATGTATGCTTACTTTTATCCTGATGTAGAAAAACCCAGTTACACTCTTAAAGGAACTGTCAGCGATAAAGTCTCGGTATCAAACTTTGTATGCACGCTTTAAACCAGTTGCTGTTGAGCAGAAAGAGACTAAGAGCCGCATTTGTGCTGCTGTGAATAAAACTATGGACATAATACAAAAACTACAAAAGCAAACAGACCTGGAGGTAATGTTTTTAATTGACAGTTGGGTTTGTATAGTTTCCGTTTTGAGTGTTGCTTTGAAAAATAAGCCCCTAGTAACTTAAAATTTGAAATTCAGCAGTTAGTGTGAACTATGGATATACTTTCTTGATACCCAGAAGTATAATGGCTCTTATTTCTTTTTATGCTAAAATAAGCATGTGGATTTGACATGGTTAATAAGGAGGTTAATAAGGAGGTAATATAACCATAGGAGAAGACAAAACTTGCTAATACTTGTTAAACCTAACATCTCAACTTTTCTCTTTTTCCCCCACTTGATTCCTGAGAGTACTAGTGAGATTGAGATGTCTGAAAAGCATCTGTAACAGTAACACTTTTAAAAAAGAGTTCTCCTTTTCTTCATTTGGGCAGGCAGGCATGGGAGGGCCTGACCTCCTTCAATCCCTCCTTCTATTCCCCATATTCATCTCATTTAGTGTAAGAAACCTTGTAATTGTAAAAATCTTCAGATATGTTGGAGTATGAGCTTCTGACCTAGGCACTAAGATTTTGAACTGACAACAGAAGGACTTGGCAGCATTTTCATTTACTATTGAGAAAAAGTTGGGACTTCTGAAAGGAAAGATAGGTATATGTGGATGGAATCAAAGAGTAGAACTACACTATCTGGATAAGGATTGGCCAATTGGTTTTATCTGAGGTGCCACTGTCAACTGTTGCTTAGAGTGCTGTGTCTGGGCTTGGCAGACAATAGTTCCTGGGCATGGGAAGAAGGAGGGACTGCATATATGGTATTTATTTGCCAACCTGAACTACATTATGGCTTAAGATACTTTGAATTATGGGTTTTAGCTAGAATAAATCTCAAAGGTTGATGACCCAGGTCAATTTGATTAAGAATTCTTTATATTAAAAATGGAAGAAAAAAGAGAACAATATGTGGTTAAAATGATAAAATATATCTGTCATGTCACAGGGAGATGAATAGTGGAGGAGGGAAGGATAGTTATAAAGGGAATAGAGAGACTAGGGAAACAGAATTTAAATAGTAAGGGTGGTGTCACATGCTAAAAAGTTAAATATGGTAAGCTTTTATAAATACATTTAAGGCTGGGCATGATGGCTCAAGCCTGTAATCCCAGCACTTTGGGATGCTGAGGCCAGAGGATTGCCTGAGCCTGCAGGTTTGTGACCAGCCTGGGCAACATGGTGAGACCTTGTCTCTACAATAAAATCAACAAATTGGCTGGGTGTGGTAGCACATGCCTGTAGTTCTGACTACTTGGAAGGCTGAGGCGGAAAGATTGCCAGAGCCCAGCAGGTCGATGCTGGGGTGGGTGGGAATATGCCACTGCACTGTAGCCTGGGCAACGAAGTGAGACTCCAACTCAAAAAAAAAACAAAAAAAAAACCATTTAAAATAATTTATTCTTTATTGTATGTGATCAAAGCCTGAGAATAGAGCATATAATTTGGTTCTTGGGAAACAAATCTTGAAGAGAGATTAAGTGTAGTTTTAGATGTATATAACAACATAATTTGTTTAGAAATCCATAAATTTATTAAAGCACATAATAAATTTAAGTGAGTGAAAAGAAAAATGGTATTTTGAATATTTACTACAAAGTATCCCCACTGGGTATGATAAATATGTGGTATAATTTTTATTGAGACTACAAATTAGTACCAAAAAATAGTTACATAATGATAGGAATTTCAATTATCTGAATATTTGTAAAGGTCTTGACTCAGTTAAAAAAAGAAGTATCTGAAATAAGCATTAATTATGTCAAGGGCAGAAAGCTAAGGGAGCTTTTACTTTGGATTAAGTTATAGCAAATAGGAAGAAATGATTTTAAAAGTACCAAGTTATAAAACTTGAAAAACGAGGTCATATTTTATGATGGTCAAGTTGGGAAATGTTAGATATCCTGGGTCTTGTACCTACCACTCTTTTTTTTTTTTTTTTTTTTGAGTCGGGCCTTACTCTGTGTCCCAGGCTGAGTACAGTGACATGATCACGGCTCACCACAGCCTTGACCTACTAGGCTCAGGCAATCCTCTTACTTAAGCCTCCTAAGTACCTGGGACTATAGGCATGTTCTACCATGCCTGGCAATTTTTTTTTTTCATTTTTTAGTAGAGTTAAGGTCTTACTATGTTGTCTAAGCTGGTCTTAAACTCCTGGGCTCAAGCAGTCCTTCTGCCTCAGCCTCCCAAAGTGGTGGAATTATAGATGTGAGCCACTGTGCCCAGCTTCTACTATGATTTTTTTTTTTGAGTTGGAGTCTCACTCTGTCGCCCAGACTGGAGTGCAGTGGCCGCTCTTGGCCACTGCAGCCTTGACCTGCTGGGGCTCCGGTGATCCTTCCGCCTCAGTCTGGGCTGGAATCACAGGTGCACGCTACCATGCCCAGCTAATTTTTTGATTTATTATAGAGATGAGGTCTCACCAGGTTGCCCAGGCAGGTCTTGAACCCGCGGGCTCAGGCAATCCACTCACCTCAGCCTCCCAAGGTGCAGGATTACAGGCTGAGCCACCGAGCCCGGCTCTACTATGATTTTTGAGTCAGGATCTTACTCTGTCACCTGAGCTGGAGTGCAGTGGCACGATCATGGCTCACCATAGCCTTGCCCTCCTGGGCTCAAGTGATCCTTCCATTTCAGCCTCCTGAGCAACTGGGACTACAGGCATGCACTATCATGCCTGGATAATTTTTTGACTTTTTGAAGAGATGAGGTCTTGCTATGTTGCCCAGGCTTGTCTCGAACTCCTGGGCTCAAGCAATCCCCCCACCTTGGCCTCCCCAATTGTTGGGATTACAGGTGTGAGCCACTGTGAACGCCCTCCTACTACTTTTCAAATGAAATAGCAGGCCAGGCTTGGTGACTCAGCATGTCATCCTAGCACTTTGGGAGGCCGAGGTGAATGGATTGCCTGAGCCCGAGGGTTCGAGACCTGGCTGGGCAACTTGGTGAGACCTCATCTCTACAATAAATCAAAAACTTAGCTGGGTGTGGTAGCGCACGCCTGTAGTTCCAGCTACTTGGAAGGCTGAGGCAGAAGGTTTGCCGGAGCCCAGCAGGTCGAGGCTGCGGTGGCGGGGAGCAGCCATTGCACTCCAGTCTGGGCAACAGAGTGAGACTCCAACTCAAAACAAAAACAAACAAACAAAAAAAGAGTAGCTGGGACTACAGGCATGTGCCACCATGCCTGGCTAATTATTATTATTATTTTTTTTTTTTGTAGATACCAGGACTTGCTATGTTGCCTAGGCTGGTCTTAAACTCCTGAGCTTAAGCAGTCCTCCTGCCTCAGCCTCCCAAAGTGCTGGGATTACAGATGTGAGCCACTGTGCCTAGCTCCTAATACTGTTTTTCTGAGTCAGGGTGTTACTCTGTTGCCCCGGCTGTAGTGCAGTGGCACAATATTAAATTGATAATATTAAATAATAAATAGGGAACATAAAAAAAGGTGCGAGAAAGGGAATACATATTAATTTCCTCATCTTTCTTAGTTAATATTAAGACATTAAGATTCAAATATAATTTTTATCTTTTTTTTTTTTTTTGAGTTGTAATCTCACTCCGTCGCCACTGCAGCCTTGATCTGCTGGGATCCGGTGATCCTTCCGCCTCAGCCTTCCAAGTAGCTGGAACTACAGGCACGTGCTACAACGCCTGGCTAATTTTTGGTTTATTGTAGAGATGAGGTCTTGCCAAGTTGCCCGGGCGGGTCTCGAACCCGTGGGCTCAGGCAATTCACTCACCTCAGCCTCCCAAAGCACTGGGATTACAGGCTGAGTCACTGAACCTGGCCTACTTTTAATCTTACTTTATTTTTTTTGAGTTGGAGTCTTGCTCTGTCATCTAGACTGAAGTGCAGTGGCATGTTCATGGCTACCGCAACCTTGACTTGCTGGGTTCAGGAGATGCTTCTGTCTCAGCCTTCCAAATAGCTGGAACCACAGGAGCATGTCACTATGCCTGGCTAATTTTTTGATTTATTGTAGAAACGAGGTCTCGCCAAATTGCTCAGGTTGGTTTCAAATCCCTGGGCTCAGGCAATTCTCTCGCTTCTACCTCCCAAAGTGTTGGGATTACAGGCATGAGTCACTGCAACCGGTCTCCAATATACTTAATTATATAGGCGAGGCTGGGTGTGGTGGTTCATGCCTATAATCCCAGCACTTTGCGAGGCCGAGGTGAGAGGATTGCCTGAACCCAGGGGTTTGAGAACAGTCTGGGCAACTTGGAGAGACCTCATCTCTACAATAAAAAAAAAATTAAGCCGGGCTCGGTGGCTCAGCCTGTAATCCCACGCCTTTGGGAGGCTGAGGTGAGTGGATTGCCTGAACCCACGGGTTCGAGACCCGCCCGGGTGGCGAGACCTCATGTCTACAATAAATCAAAAAATCAGCTGGGTGTGGTAGCGCATGCCTGTAATTTCGGCTACTCGCAAGGCTGAGGTGGCAGGATCGCTGGAGGCCAGCAGGTCAAAGCTGCGGTGGCTGGGAGCGGCCACTGCACTCCAGTCTGGGTGACAGAGTGAGACTCCGGCTCAAAAAAAAAAAAAAAATTAGCTCGGCGTGGTAGTGCACACTTGTCTTTCCAGCTAAGCTACTTGGAAGACTGAGGCAGAAGGATCTCCTGAGCCGAGTGAGACTCCAACTCAAAAAAAAAAAAATTTATATATAAAGGTGGTTACTGAAAGAAAAAATAGATCTCATCTCTACAATAAATCAAAAAATTAGCCGGGCGTGGTAGCGCGCGCCTGTAATTCCTGCTACTTGGAAGGCTGAGGCGGAAGGATCACCGGAGCCCAGCAGGTCGGTTAATTTGACATTAATTTCTGGAAGCATTCTTTGAGGGTTTATTAAACATGTAGTCTGAAAGTTCTTGTACAACAATGAGCAATATGGATTCATTGAGAACAAACAAGTCTTATAGGCAGATGTGGTGGTATATGCCTGGAGTCCTAGCTACTCAAGAGGCTAAGGCAGGAGGATCACTTGAGTCCAGGAGTTTAAGGTGGCAATGACCTCTGATTATACCACTGTACTCCAGCTACGTGACAGAGCAAGTTGTCATCTTAAAAAACAAAACAGGGCAACCCCTTTGGGTCCCCTCCCACTGTGGGAGTTTTCTGTCCTTTTTTTTTTTTTTTTTTTTGAGTCGGAGTCTTACTCTGTTGCCCAGGCTGGAGTACAGTGGCATGCTCACGGCCACCGTAACTTTGACTTGCTAGGCTCTGGTGATCTTTCCACCTCAGCCTTCCAAGTAGCTGGAACTACAGGCACGTGACACTATGCCAGGCTAGTTTTTGTGGTTTATTATAGTTGCCCAGGCTGGTCTCGAACCCCTAGGCTCAGGCAATCCTCTCACCTCGGCCTCCCAAAGTGCTGGGATGACAGACTGAGCCACCGCGCCCGACCATTTTCTGTCCTCTTAATAAATCCTGCTTTCTAAAAAAAATAAAACAAAGTAAGAAAAAAAAAAGATAAAAGGAAAACAAATGAAGAAACAAATCTTGCCAGAATAATCTAATTTTCTTCTCTTGAGGTAGTAGAAGAAGAAAATCCTCTAACTATTTGGGTTGCAGTAGGTATATGATTGTTTTTCATTTTATCCATGTGAACATATTGGGTCAATATTGGTTTAATCTGTCAAACCACCACATATCAGAATCATATAGGTTCTGTGGTTGTTCTGTAGCTGGGCTTTCTAATTTATATAACCCAATTTGGCAATATATATTTAAATTTAAAGTAATTAAATAAAATTAAGTTCATCTGATGATTGGATAGTACTGTTATAGAATATTTCCAGCATCATGGAAAGTTTTATTGGACAGCGCTGCCCTAGAGATTCTGATTCTGTAGGTTTGGAGTGTTCCAGATTTGGCAGTCTCTCTAGAGATGACCTATATAGTTAGGCAGATTTGTAACTACTTGCATGATTCTTCAGATTGTACCTCCCATTAATTTCCCACATAACCTTTGTTTCAGCAAGTCTCTTTGTTGGTGCTCTGTGAAAGACCCTTATAACTTCCTTCAGCTTCCTTTTTTCCTAATGCTTTTGCTCCTACCTGCTTTTGGTGAGTGTTACTGGCTGGTTGTTTTCTTAGCATCTGTTCTCCTTTCCGGCCTACCAGAGTATGTAATCATGCAACACATAATATTTTAGTCAATAGTGGACCACATATATGACATTGGTCCTATAAGATTATAATACCATATCTTTACTACACTTTTGCTATGTTTAGATACACAAATACTAAGTATTGTGTTACATTTGCCTACAGTATTCAGTACAGTAACATCCTGTCCAGGTTTTTAGCCTAGGAGCAATAGGCTATACTATATAGCCTAGGTGTATAACAGGCTCTACCATCTAGGTTTGTGTAAGTACACTCTATGATGTTCCTACAATGATGAAATTGCCCAAAGACACATTTCTTAGAAGGTGTCCACATTGTTAAATGACACATAAGTATACTGATTTTCTTGAGATATGTGTCATCCCTTGCAGCCATGCACCTGAGGTGAAGCTGGCCCCATCCTCGGCTCCAGGGGTGTGTACTTGATTGGCAAAGGGAATGGATTTTCCTTTAACTAATGTTGGTTCAGGAATGGGTTTGTAATCCAAATGGCATGTGAGGAGGGAAATTCTAGGAGTAGATAACTAGGACATTTCCTCACTGCTGAGAGAATCCTGGGAAGAGAAAGCTTATTTTCTTCTTCTGGACATTGTGTACAGATATGATACTTAGCACCATTAAAGCCATTTTGCTGTCAGCTTGAAGGTGAAGGCACCATCAAGAATATCAGAGTCATGAGATAGAAAAAACTGAGTTCTTATATTGTTAAGCTGTTGAATAAGTCAGTCCTGAAGTCTTCCCTTCTGATTTTAGTGTATAATTATAATATATTTTCTTATTATTCTTCCATTATGAAATATTTCTATTAATTGTAACTAAAAAGCATCTTAATTATTCTTCAGAATTGAAGGTGGGCATGGTGGCTTATGCCTGTAATTCCAGCACTTTGGGAGGCTGAGGTGGGAGGATTGCTTGAGACCAGGAGTTTAAGACCAGTCTGGGAACAAAGCAAGACCTCATCTCTAAATATTCTACAAAAAATAGAAATATTAGCTGGTCATGATGGTGCACGCCTGTAGTTCCAGCTACTCGTGAGGCTGAGGCAGGAGGATCTCTTCAGCCCAGGAGTTTGAGGCTGTGGTAAGCCTTGATTGTGCTGCTGCATTCCAGCCTGGGCAACAGAGTGAGATCCTATTAAAAAAAAAAAAAAATCAAAATTTAGCCCAAGTCTTTTCTTTGCAGAGGAAATTTCTAGACTATTTTTGCTCATATCTTTTTCAAAATATAATCAGCCCTCCATATCCATGAGTTCTGCGTACATGGATTCAACCAACTGTGGATCAAAATTATTTGAAAAAAATAGATGGTTGTATCTATACTGAACATTTACATTTTTTCCTTGACATTATTCCCTAAACAATATAGTATAGCAGCTATTTATATAACATTCACATTGTGTTAGGTACTATAACTAATCTAGAGATGATTTATCTATTTATTTATTTATTTATTTTTTGAGTTGAAGTTTCACTCTGTCGCCCAGACTGGAGTGCAGTGGCCGCTCCCAGCCACCACAGCCTCGACCTGCTGGACTCCGGCGATCTTTCCACCTCAGCCTTCCAAGTAGATGTAATTACAGGTGCACGCTACCATGTCTGGCTGATTTTTGATTTATTGTAGAGATGAGGTCTCGTCAAGTTGCCCAGGCAGGTCGCGAACCCGCGGGCTCAGGCAATCTGCTCACCTTGGCCTCTCAAGGCGTGGGATTACAGGCTGAGCCACCGAGCCCGGCCTAGAGACGATTTAAACTATATAGGAGGATGTGCATAGATCATATACAAATACTACATCATTTTCAGTAGGGACTTGAGCATCTGTGGATTTTGGTATCCTGGAACCAATTTCCCACCGATACTGAGGGGAAATTGTTTGATTTCTTGATCCTATTTCTTCAACTTAATTTCAAGTTCTTTAGAAGCTCAAACATCACAGCTCCTTATATATAGTTAGCCAGATACCTATTTTTTCCCCTTGCCTTTCTAAATTTTTGATTGCATACATAGTATAAGCTTATAGAAACATTTATCTGTGACAAAGCAGAAATTAACTAAATTAATTTAGCCATCTTTAAAGGTTTTTGAAATAAAGATGTCATTTATTTTTTAGCTGTCACCACTGACTGAAGAAGAGAAAACTGCGGCTGACCAATTAAAATCTCACATACCAGACTTATGAAGAAATGGACTGGCAAAAGGGAACACTAATGGAGAAGAGATAATTCTAGAGAAGTTTAGGAAGATGTCTTGTTCACGCTTGATGACTAGAGGGAGGAAGGCTGGTAAAGGAGACGATTTAGCTTGAATGACTGAATAATGATGCCTTTCATAGCAGAGAAGAATATAAGAAGGGCATATATATGAATAAAGTTCAGCCAAAAGGATGAAATGGAAATAATGAGACTTAAATATACACATACACATTCACAACGTATTGTAATTTCAGACAAAAACATCCCTTAATCATTATTTTGCACCTGTTTTTCCTTTTCTTTCTCCTTTCCTTCTTTGTTTCTTTTTTGAGTTGGTGTCTCACTCCATCGCCCAGATTGGAATGCAGTGGCACACTCACAGCCACTCCAGTGTTGACCAGCTGGTCCCTGGCGATTCTCCTACCTTAGTCTTCCAAGTAGCTGGAACTACAGACACATGCTACCACGCCCGGCTAATTTGTTTTTATTTATTGTGAAGACAAGGTCTCGCCAAGTTACCCGGGCAGGTCTCGAACCCGTGGGCTCAGGCAATCCACTAGCCTCAGCCTCCCGAAGTGCTGGGATTACAGGCTTGAGTCACCGTGCCTGACCATTTTTTTTTTTTTTGAGTTGGAATCTCACTGTGTTGCTCAGGCTGGAGTGCAGTGGCAAGCTCATGTTCATGGCCACCGCAGCCTCGACTTGCTGGGCTCAGGCGATCCTTCTGCCTCAGCCCTTTTCCTTCTTTAAATAGAGACAGGGTCTTGCTGTATTGCCCTAGTTGGTCTAGAACTCCTGTGCTCAAGTGATTCCCTTGTCTCAGCCTCCCAAAGTGCTGGGATTATAGGCTTAAGCCACTGCACCCAGCCTGCATCTATTTTATTTTTGTGTAGTCGGGATACCATAGATGTTCCGGCCTATCATAAAAGAATGTTCATGTACATTTCAGTAATGTGACTGAGTATGCTTTGGAAATTAAAGAGTAGGCAAAACATTTGTTATACATTTTATATAATTTCAATTTTTGAAAATGTTGATTACAGATGTGGTCTCATTGGTGAGACTACTTATATGTGACTTGTAGTCTTTCACAAAACCTAGCTAAAGTAATAAGCTGGCTTTTCTGTGATAGTCTCTTTTATTTTTTCCCACTTCTCCCTGCTAATGTTGAGCAGGATGAGCTTGCTTTCAGATGACATTTTAGACTGTTCCTTTTGTTTGTCTTTTGAGTTGGAGTCTTATTTTGTCGCCGAGGATGGAGTGCAGTGGCACACTCATGGCCACCCCAGCGTTGACCTGCTGTGCTCAGGTGATTCTTCTGCCTCAGCCTTCCAAATAGCTGGAACTACAAGCACACACTACCATGCCGGACTGATTTTTTGACTAATTGTAGAGATGAGGTTGCGCCAAGTTGCCCAGTCTGGTGACGAACCCATGCCTCAGGCAATCCTCTCACCTCAGTCTCCGAGATGCTCGGATTACAGGGTTGACCTTTTATATTTTAATAATACCTTTGTTCTCCTGTATTATTGTAACTTTTAATTCTAGGTGAAAGCTAAGAAACTGAAATTAGAGGATCACTTATCTGCTACTTGCTAGTT